GATGAGATTCTGTCTCAAAAAACAAAAACAAATGAAAAAGTTTGTTGTTATATAAGAATGTATCAATAAATACTACCAAAGACAATCTACAGATTAAATGCAATCTCTATCAAAATACCAATGACATTCTTCACAGAAATAGAAAAAAAAATACTAAAATTTGAATTGAATCACCAAAGACCCCTAAGAGCCAAAGCTTAACTGAAAACAAAAACAAAAACAAAAACAAAAACAACAAAAAGAAACACAACTGGAGGCATTATACTACTTGACTTCAAAATATATTACAAAATGACAGTAACCAGAACAACACAGTGTTGATATAAAAACAGACACACAGATCCATGGGACAGAATAGAGAGCACAGAAATAAATTCATGTAGTTACAGCTAACTCATTTTCGACAAAGGTGCCAAGTAAGAACATACATTGGGGAAAGGATACCCTCTTTGATAAATATGCTGGGAACACTGGATATCCACATCCAGAAGAATGAAATTAGACACCCATCTCTCATCATATACAAAAAAATCAACTCAAAATGGATTAAAGACTTAAATTTAAGATCCAAAACTATAAAACTACTAGAAGAAAACATAAGGGGAAAACTCCGTAATATTAATCTAAGCAAAGATTTTATGAGTAATGCTACAAAATCACAGCCAACAAAAATAGAGAATTAGAACTCTATCAACTAAAAAGCTACTGTACAGCAAAGGAAATAATCAACAGAATGAGGAGACAACCTGTAGAATGGGAGAAAATATCTGCAAACTATTCATTAGCCAAGTATGGTCTATTCATTAGCCAACAAAGGTCTAATAGTAAGAATGCACAAGGTATTCAAACAACTTAACAGCCAAAGAACCCTAAATAATTGAATTTAAAAGTGGACAAAGGATCTGAAAAGACATTTCTCAAAAGAAGACATATAAATGGCAAACAGGTATATGAAAAAATGCTCAACATCACTAATCATCAGGGAAATGCAAATCAAAACCACAATGAGATATAATTTCACTCTAGTTAGAATGGCTATTTATCAAATGCGAAAAAAGGAAAATTCTGGCGGAAATGAGGAGAAAATATAATACTGGTACATTGTTAAGGGAATGTAAATGAGTATAGCCATACAGAAAACAGTATGAAGCTTACTCAAAAAATTAAAAATAGAACTACCGTATGATTCAGCAATGGGTATACATACAAAAGAAATGAAATTAGTAGATTAAAAAGATATTTATCCTCCTACGTTTCTTGTAGCATTATTCATAACAGTCAAGATATGGAACCAAATTAAGCGTTGGTCAATAACTGACTGGATTTCTAAAATGTGATATATATACACAATGTAATACTATTCCACCACAAGAAAAGAGAAATCACCCAGGCCTGGCAGCTCACAGTTTTGGGAGCCCAAGCCAGGAGGATTACTTGAAGTCAGGAGTTTCAAGACCAGCTTGGACAACAAATCAAGACTCTGTATCCACAAGAAAATTTAAAAATTAGCCAGATGCAGTGGCATACACCTGCAGTCTCAGCTACTCGGGAGGCTAAGGCAGGAGGATAGCCTGAACCTAGGAGTTTGAGGCTGCAGTTAGGTATAATCATGCCACTGAACACCAGCCTAAGTAACAGAGCAAGACCCTATCTCTTAAAAAAAGAAGTCAGGGAGGGCCAAGGTGGAAGGATCATTTGAGACCAAGGGTTCAAGAACAGCCTGGGCAACATAGCAAGACCTAAGGTAGGCCAACATTTGAATAACAATTAGAGTCACTTAAGGAAACAACAAAATAAACGGAAAAGGAAATATATACATTTTTCTGGCATGAAGCAAGACTCTCAGAAAGGGAGCATCAAAAGTACTGGCAAAAACTGATAAAGAATATCAACATCCAGACATACTCTGGTTAAGTCAGTCATTTCAAATATAATGAAATAATTATTCAAGCAGTAAGTTAGAAAACAAAAAGTCATTTTACAAATGGAAAACAAAAACTGCTGGTACCAGAAGTTTTAGTCTTCCCTTAAGCAGACTCAGCTGTTTTCTCTTTGTTTTTGAAAAGTGCTTTGCTCTGTCACCCAGTCTGGAGTGCAGTGGTGTGATCACAGCTCACTGCAGCCTCAAATTCCTGGGCTCAAATGATCCTTCCACCTCAGCCTCTGAAAGAGGTGGGACTATAGGAGCATGCTACCGCACTTGGCTATTTTTCAAATTTTCTGTAGAAACGGGGTTGCTCTCTGCTGCCCAGAATGGAATGCAGTGGCACAATCATAGCGCACAGCAGCCTCAAATTCCCGGCTCCGGCAATCCCACTGCCTCAGCCTCTGGAGTAGCTGGGACTACAAGTGTGTGCCACAATGCCCAGCTAATTTTATTTGTTGGCCAGCGTGGTCTCAAACTCCTGACCTCAAGCGATCCTCTCACCTCAGCATCCCAGCTAGCCAAGTCATTTGGATTACAGGCGTGAGCCACAGCACCAGCTGTGCTTTTGTTTTTTAAAGAGACCAGCTGCCCAGGCTGGAGTACAGTGGCTGTTTACAGGCACAATCATCATACACTACAGCCCTGAACTCCTCAAGCGATCCTTAAGCAACAGACTTCCCAGTAGCTGGGACTCTAAGCCCACACCATTGTTCCTGGCTCAGTTGTGTGTGTGTGTGTTTTTTTTTAATCTTTTAAAATTCTTTTTAAAAATTCTTTTAATGTTGTTTTTTCTTTTGACCACAGCACATGCACCGTTTTTTTCATTAAAGGAAAACTGTTGAAACAAATCATGTACCCTCCCAAAAGACCTGTTCATTTATACACTTGTAAATAATTTGTTTATTGCTGTGAAAACTAAAAGATACAGAAAACTAAGCAACAAATCTGCTTCCTTTATCAAAATGAAATAAACTCATTTAACAACAAAATATGACTCTTATGAACAAAATGGCAACATTCTTATGTTTTGTTTTCCTGGCATTTCTTAATACAAATCAATTTTAAAAAACCATCTAAAATGTAAATCTTTATTTGTAAAGAACTATATGCTCAGATAATCATAAAGCATAGCTCATAAGAGATGACAGTTCATAAATTTGATTTGTTAAAAATCACTTCTGCGTTAATTAGTTTTTCCACTATAGTATTCAATAAATACCATTAAGACAAGAGGGAAAAATGTCTATACAGTTCTAAGAGATTGTTATCTACAGTCATTTCTATATTTGAGTATATAAAGGCAACAAACACATTTTCAAACATGAAAGAACCCATAGAACATAGAATCCAAAGTCATCCTCACATAAAAACAAAAAAATTTAATAATGAAATAAATAAAAAAGCAGTCGTGAGCATTAACTCTAGAAATAGAACTAAGGCTAAATAATTGGGGGAGAACTTAGGGAGGATGTAAATTTGAAAGGAAAAATAGTAAGAAGAAAATTCAAGCCGGGCGCGGTGGCTCAAGCCTGTAATCCCAGCACTTTGGGAGGCCGAGGCGGGTGGATCACAAGGTCAAGAGATCGAGACCATCCTGGTCAACATGGTGAAACCCCGTCTCTACTAAAAATACAAAAAAGTAGCTGGGCATGGTGGCATATGCCTGTAATCCCAGCTACTCAGGAGGCTGAGGCAGGAGAATTGCCTGAACCCAGGAGGCGGAGGTTGCGGTGAGCCGAGATCGTGCCATTGCACTCCAGCCTGGGTAACAAGAGCGAAACTCCGTCTCAAAAAAAAAAAAAAAAAGAAAATTCAAGAGGTAGAGTAGAAAAGGAGGAAGAAGTTTAAAAGAGATAATTACCTTACTTTTCAGAGTAGAAGTCAATCCACGGCTTTTAAATCTGAAACAATGACTTCAATCTCTCAATAATGTATTTAATCTCTTTCAGAAATTTTTTTTTTTTGAGACAAGGGCTCGGTATGTTGCCCGGGCTGGAGTGCAATGGCATGATCATGGCTCACTACAGACAGCCTCAACCTCCCAGGCTCAAATGATAGTCCCATCTGAGCCTCCTGAATAGCTGGGACTACAGGCACACACCACCATGCTCAATTAATTTTTAAATGTTTTTAAGAGACTGGGTCTCACTATGTTGTCCAGGCTGGCCTCAAGCAATCCATAAGCCTCGCAAAATTGCTGGGACTACCGGTGTAATCTCTTTTCTTAAAAAATTCTTTCCTTGGCTGGACGCAGTGGCTCACACCTGTAATTCCAGCACTTTGGGAGGCCAAGTCAGGAAGATCACCTGAGGCTGGGAAGAGACCAGCCTGACCAACATGAAGAAATCTCATCTCTAAAAATATAAAAAATTAGCCAGGCATGGTAGCACATGCCTGTAATCCCAGCTACTCAGGAGGCTGAGGCAGGAGAATCACTTGAACCTGGAAGGCAGAGGTTGTGGTGAGCCTAGATCCACGACACTGCACTCCAGCCTGGGCAAACAAGAGTAAAACTCTGTCTTAAAAAAAAAAAAAAAATCTTGAAGATAAGGGAGAAAAAAAGAAAAAAAAAAAGAAAAAAAAATTCTTTCCTTAAAAAAAAAAATCCATTCGTTTTTCTAGCTATCAATCCAGTCTTCTGCTAAATATACACATGGAGAATTATCTGGACTGTTAATCAAATGTTAACACTGCCTATTTCTGAGAGGGTTAGATTTTGGGTAATTTGTTGCTTTATTCTTTCATTTTTCTGTATTAAATTTTAAATAAGCACATATTTTATTCATAAACATAATACGGCCATCTTTTTTTAAGTCAGAAAAACAGCTATTTGGCCACTGTAATCTTTCCTGAGTCTCCCCCGAAGGAAAGTCAGCAGTCCAGGAAAGAACATCTTTTAGCCTAGCAAATATAACTTAAGTGCGGAAGTGTAGTCGTATCAAAGAGCCAAAACAAAAGAGGCTCTCTAGTTTGGAGTTTTTGTTCTTTGTGCTCTCTAGTACCTAACTGAATAGACTTGTCTTATCATCACTAGGTGTATGGTATCTGCAACACAAGCCCCAAAGTCTCATACCTTCACGACAGGATGTCCCCCAGTAGATGCTTTTACTGCCCCTCGACTACCTTCTGTTTCATAATGGGCTCGATGATGAGTTTTAGGCTGTACTTCTATTTTCAGTTCACATTGTCCAAAATGAGCTGGTAAAGGCCAGTCTAGTGGAGGTAATGAAGATGTGCTACAAACAAAACACACAAAGATGCATGTCACCATGCTATTATTGCCAAGCAATGATTCAAATGGCTTCTTTACCATCCCCAACATTTCCTTCTGTGATCTTTGAAACAATGTATTACAAAATAAAACTTCATTTAGTAAGTTATAATTCTGGTTATGGTGAGTTCTTAATAAATAATTATTTCATCTTTAGGATAAAATCTATTTTATTTCCCAAAGGTGGTATGTGCTTAAAGATAAATAAACTTTAGAAAATAAAAATAAATGCCAGGTGCGGTGGCTCACACTTGTAATCCCAGCACTTTGGGAGGCCAAGACGGACAAATTACCTGAGGTCAGGAGTTTGAGACCAGCCTGGCCAGCATGGTGAAACCCCCGTCTCTACAATAAATACAAAAATTAGCTGGTGTGGTGGCACACGCCTGTAAATCCCAGCTTCTCGGCAGACTGAGGCAGAATTGTTTGAGCCTGCAAGACGGAGGTTGCAATGAGCCAAGATTGTGCCACTGCACTCCAACCTGGCCAACAGAGCAAGACCCTATCTTAAAAAAAAAAGAAAAGAAAAAAGAAAAAAAAAGAAAATTTAAAAAACTATCTTATCTTCATTTTGATTTCTCTTTTAAAAAAAAAAAAATTCTAATAATTTGTAAAACTATGTTTCTCAACTATGTGTATGTAATTAATAAAAATTATCAAAAAATAGTAATTCAATTTTTTTAAAACTAAGAGGCACATTTCTGTTTATCTGTATCAGTATCTCGCCACATATCCTAATATATATATATATCTCTCTGTCAGGATGTCTCTCTCCCTCCCTGGTACACATCTGTGGATGTCAACCTACTGAACTTATCACTTCACACACTTCCTCCTTCCAACCTTCCCCTACTTCCTCCCTATTGCGCCTTTCCCTCTCTCTCTGAAAAACTGCTTCTGTTCAGCAATATACTGCAAAATTTGAAGCAAAAATTTAATTTCAGTACATGTTTGGTTGGAAAATAGCCTGTCACTCTAGCATCTCTAAATGTTACTTTCCTTAACTTTATCAATAAAACAATTTAAACTGCTTAAAGGCCGAAAAGTTCATTTCGACATATTAACATTAAAAATATGGATTATAAAAGAAAAACCTTTTTATGTCTACAGGTCAAATAAAATTTCTAAGTTATTTCATTGTTTCCTTCCATGTCTTCAGCCTAGCTTTAAGTCCAACTCCTGCGAAATTCAAAGATACTAATTTTTATTAGTCTGCAAAATCCAACTTCAACTCTCAGTTACAAGATCAGCCTGAGCAACAAAGCAAGAACCTTTCCCTACCAAAAAAAAAAAAAAAAAAAAAAAAAATTTTTAAATAATTGAGTGTGGTGGTGGACATCTATAGTCCCAGATACTCAGGAGCCTGAGGTATAAAGATTGCTTGAGTCTGGGAAGTTGAGGCTACAGTTAGCTATGATTGCACCACTGTACTCCAGCCTGGGCAACACAGCAAGACACTGTCTTGAAAAACAAAACAAAAACCCTACCAGGCACAACTCTATGTGGAAATTCAATACATGAAATTTGTCTTTTCTAATCAATTATAGACTAGATTGATTCTATAAATGTAATTAATAGGTTGATTTTTTTCTTTTTCTTTTTTTTTTTTGGTGGGGGGTGGTGCAGACAGGGTCTCGCTTTCACCCAGGCTAGAGTGCAGTGGCACGATCTTGGCTCACTGCAGCCTCCACCTCCTATCTCAAGTGACACTCCTGCCTCAGCCTCCCTAGTACCTGGGACTATAAGTGTGTGCCACTACTCCTGGTTAATTTTTATATTTTTTTGTAGAGACAGGGTTTTGCCATGTCACCCAGGCTGGTCTCGAACTCCTGGGTTCGAGTGATTCACCTGGCAGGGCCTCCCAAAGTGCTCGGATTACAGGCATGAGACACCACGCCTGGCTCCCAAATACTTTTCTTAGTCATTAAATTCATATTATAATCCAACTTTTGCAATAAAGTTTTTTCTTTTTTGGTAGAGACAGGATGGAGTACTATGGCATGATCATGGTTCACTGCATCCTTGAAGTCCTGTGCTCAAGCAATCCTCCACCTCAGCCTCCCAAGCAGCTAGGCAGGCACACACCAATATGCCTGGTCAATTTTTTTTTTTTTTTTTTTGTAGAGACAGTCTTGCTATGTTGCCCAGGGTGGACTCAAACTCCTGGGCTCAAGCAATCCTCCTGCCTCAGCCTCCCAAGTGCTGGGACTACAAAGGATAAGCCTCCAAACCTAGCCAGGATTTTTAAATGTAATTTATTATCACCAACAATTCATTAGCTATATACTTTTAAAATTACATTTAACCTATCTAAAAATACTTTTAAGATGCAAATAAAAATTAACATTAAGTTATTTGGTAGAAATTTTGAATAGTAAGAGGAGAAATGGTCAAATCATTACATATTTATAATGTCATATATATTGATATGCCACCAATGACCCATAAACATGAAAAATGACCAATATTCATTTCCAACAACTCACCGAAATATAGGGGTGTGGCCAGGCTTTGGTTTGCTCCAGGTAAAGGGTGAAGGAACTGAAAGAAACTGATCACCAGATGAATCTTTCTTTAAAGGATACTGAGATCCAAGGCCATCATCTACTGAAGTCTCCCGGGATGGTGATAAACTCCCTTGGTCATCTGAACAGAGCTCTAATTTTCCTGGTAGTATGGCAGCTTGATCTTCAGAAGTCTTCCTTGTTTTCAGAGGGATGTCAGTCTCTACACAGTACTGAAATGGAAAAACTGCAGGGCCAAGGCCTGACCCACCATGGACAGAAGCATTGAGCCAGGTATCTTCTGTCACACTTCCCCTGGGGGAGTGACCAGGAGAAGGAATAGGTGAGTGATGGGGTGAAAGGGACCCACCATAACAAACTTCAGCACTGGAGTGCCTCCGTTTCCCACAGGGGGAAGTGGGCCTCGATGAGGGTCCTGAAGCTGGCCTGGGGCTCAGCCAATTCTCATCAGTGATACTGGATCTAGGAGAGTGGCAAGGAGATTGCCTAGGTGATAATGAGTGTCCAAGTCCATACTGTTGATGCCAAGTTTCTTCTCCAGGGCAGCCCCCTGGAGAGCCACCAGGAGAAGTCAGAGGAGATCCAAGGGTAAACCGGGCTGCAGCTTCATTCAACTCTGAGTCAACATCATCATAAATATGTGAAAGTGATTCACAAGAAGATGCATCCGAGAACCAGCTCCTAGAAGAGATGCTGCTGGCAGGACTAGGACTAAGAGAAGACTCCCGGTAGGATGGCTCAAGAGGAAGATAGAGATGATCTCTAGAAGGTCTTTCTAAAAATTCCCTTTCTGGGTCATTTATCTGTAGGTCATCTTCATGCGCATCTATTTCTTGATGACAGTTAGGGGAGATAGATGTAATTTGAATACTTGGGCACTCAAAGGGTTTGGGGCCACTTAATGGGATATATTTAGATTCAGGAATCTCACAAGTTCCTTCATAGTTTTTGTGACTTTGGAGCTGAAACGATGGTGACAAAACAGAAGAGTGAGATGGTAATCCATGATGTGGTAAGCAAAGTGGTGTGTTTAGAGCAGATGGAGGTGGATCTACATTAAAGATGTAAATGGATGCACAATCATCTGGCTCAAGATCTACGAGGAAGAAGGCCAAAAAAAAAAAAAAAAAAAAAACCAACAAAACAAGAAATTAGAAAACTCAGATGTATAAATTACTAAATAAGAAAGTTAACAACAATCTTGAGAGAAAAGTGGGATATAAAATGTACATCATTAGCTCTACAAAACAGGTGGCATGTGTTTGGTTTTTTTTCGATGCATCTGATTATTTCTGCAGATATTATAATTATTACATATACAACTGTATATGTAATTTTTCCTTTTTAGTTCCACATTTTCTAAAAAGATAATCAGGAAACATTATACTCTGAAAAACTTTTTTTTTTTTTTGAGACAGGGTCTCACTCTGTCACCTAGACTGGAGTGTAATGATGTGATCACAGCTCACTGCAGCCTCAACCTCCCAGGCTCAAGGGATCCTCTCTTTGGCCTCCAGAGTAGCTGGAACACAGGTACATGCCACACTCCTGGTTACTTTTTATTGTCATTTTTGGTAGAGACAGGGCCTTGCTTTGTTGCCCAGGCTGGGCTCAAGTTACCCTCCCACCTTAGCCTCCCAAAGTGTTGAGATTACAGGTGTGAGAGCCTCTGTGCCTAGCCCAATAAATGTGTTTATTAAAAAAAATAAAAATCACATCCATAATTCTAAAAAATATTCATAGAATAACAAAATGATATGATAATAGAAATTGGGTTTCATTTGGGATTTGCAGGTTAAAATGGAGTAAAGGAAAAATCAGTCCCTGAAAGGCTATTTTAGTTATATCTATACATACTAGGTTTACTAGCAAAAAGGATTACAGAAACAGGAAACCTAGAATCTAGTATACCTCTGCCATTAATTATGAGCTCTTTAGAACATCACTCACCCTCTCTAGGCCTTTTTTCCTCTCTCTTTTCCTTGCAGTAAAATTTGAGATTTCTCTTTTCTTTAAGGAATTTTTTATGATTAACAGTGAAAACTCTTTTCTTGACATTCATACCATCAAGAACTATCTTAACTGATAGTAGACTAGGTTACAACACCCACATGAAACCACTAGATCCTTTACGTCACTAGAAAATAACACGAGGGCTTTTAATTTATGATCAATCATTAAAATAATCCTCATAAGGACAGAACTTTTACAATTCATCCCTTTGCAGGAATATTTAACACTAAACAAACCTTGCCAGATTATCTACTGAGAATGTTTGCAGCAGTAACAGTATTTTACAACTTCAATTTTAGGAAGGAAAAAATAAGCAAACAAACAAACAGAAAATTAGATTAAATTTTTTAAAAAAGAAAACAATTTTAGAAAGGACTAATTATTCATTTCCAAAAAGGCACAAGTACAAAGCCTTCATAAAAGGGGCTGTCTGAACATCTTCACTTTTTCCAAAGAGACTGGAAGATCAAAGATAAAACTCCATAGATAAAACAGAAGTACTTTATTCTCTTCTCAAAATTACTCAAGAAGACCGTATTTCTTTCATTACATTAGTACCCCTGGAAAATAAAGTACACCTCTTTAGGCTCCTCATGTTGCTGTTATAGGCAGCAAGTATATCTGTTAAGTCCTAGGTTTTAGTGCAGTGGTGTGATCTCGGCTCACCACAATCTCCACCTCCTGGGTTCAAGCAATTCTCTTGCCTCAGCCTCCCAAGTAGCTGGGATTACAGGCATATGCCATGATACCCATCTAATTTTTTTTTGTATCTTTAGTAGAGATGGGGTTTCACCATGTTGGTCAGGTTGGTCTTGATCTCCTGACCTTGTGATTCGCCTGTCTCAGCCTCTCAAAGTGCTGGGATTACAGGTGTGAGCCACCATGCCCAGATGATATTGGAACTTTTAAGATACTCTACAGTAAGTAAACATTTTCACTAAAGAGTTTTTATACATGTATCAAAACAACAAAACAAAACCCTCTAGATTTAAACCTTGGCTCTACCATTTCATAGGTATATGAATTTGGACAAGTTATTTAACCTGACTGAACTTCAGTTTCCTGGTCATAAAACTGGCAGGAATTGAGTAAGGTATCATCCAAAACACACGAGACCATTTTAAGACAGGCAACTTAACAAAATGACTAATATTTAGCAAGAATGCAATACATGTAAATTCTCTTTTCTTCTCCCTTTTAAAATTTAAGATGGGCATATTACATTATACTTTAAACTCTGAAATATTTCCCAATAAATTGAAACATCTGTTTAAGTATACAACATACTCTCTCACCTCTCCACTTACTGAATCAGGAGAAGTAGAAAGCGAGAGCTCCAAAGAAAATCTGTATGTGACTGAGACAAAAAGCAGGGCGGGGGGGAGAAAACACTTAAGTCCAGGGCTCTGGATTCCAACATCACAGACATAACAGCATCCTAGCTCAGAGCAAAGGCAGGATATCCCGGCAGGAGGGCCCTCTGAAGGGGGTTTTGCTACTCAGAAGAAAGTGATGCAAACAAACAGCTTTTATGTAACAACAACAACAAAAAACCATTAAAGTCAACAACAACAAAAATAATAAAGATTTATGGGGGAAGGAGAGTGACTGCTAGTGGGTACTGGGTTTCTTTGGGTATTAATGATTCATTTTAGAACATATTCAATGTTCTAAAATTGATTACAGTGATGGCTGCACAATTTTGCAAATATACGAAAAAATCACTGAACTGTACATCTTAAATAAGGGAAGTATATGTTACATGAATTATATCTTAATAAGGCTGTCAGAAAAACATATAATAAGTAGAAAAGCTAATGGGAGAGAAAACCCCATTGACAATAACAAGAAAGATTAAATAATGGTACTAAGAAACATAAAAAACCAATAGCAGGAAAATGTTAAAACACTATTGAGAAACACAAAAGTCAACTTGAACAAACACAAAGATATTGGTTCTTCTTTTTATTAAACTGAAGTTCCTGAGATCTGATTTCTTTTTTTCAAATTGAAGTTCTGAAAATCTGAGTATTTGTTGTTCTTAAGACCTTAACATACTACCCACAAAAAGCCCAGCTCCAGATGGGTTCACAGCCGAATTCTACCAGACATACAAAGAGGAGCTGGTACCATTCCCTCTGAAACTATTCCAAATAATCCAAAAAGAGGGAATCCTTCCCAAATAATTTTATGAGACCAACATTATCCTGATACCAAAACCCAGCAGAGACTCAGCAAGAAAAGAAAACTTCAGGCCAATATCCATGATGAACACAGATGCAAACATCTTCAATAAAATACTGGCAAACCAATTGCAACAGCACATCAAAAAGCTTATCCACCATGATCAAGCAGAATTCATCCCAGGGATGCAAGGCTGGTTCAACATACACAAGTCTACAAACATAATTCACCACATAAACAGAACGAAAGACAAAAACCACATGATTATCACAATTGATGCAGAGAAGGCCTTTGACAAGATTCAACAGCGCTTTATGCTAAAAATCCTCAATAAACTAGGTATTGACAGAATGTATCTCAAAATAATAAAAGCTATTTACGACAAACCAACAGCCAATATCATACTGAATGGGCAAAAACTGGAAGCATTCCCTTTGAAATCTGGCACTAGACAAGGATGCCCTCTCTCACAACTCCTATTCAATATAGTATTGGAAGTTCTAGCCAGAGCAATCAAGCAAGAAAAAGAAATAAAGGGTATTCAACTAGGAAAGGAGAAAGTCAAATTGTCTCTATTTGCAGACGACATAATTGTATATCTAGAAGACCCCATCGTCTCAGCCCAAAATCTCCTGAAACTGATAAGCAACTTCAGCAAAGTCTCAGGATACAAAATCAATGTGCAAAAATCACAAGCATTCCTATACACCAATAACAGACTTAAAGAAAGCCAAATCAAGAACAAACTGCCATTCACAATTCCTACAAAGAGAATAAAATACCTAGGAATACAACTAACAAGGAACGTAAAGGACCTCTTCAAGGAGAACTACAAACCACTGCTCAACAAAATAAGAGAAGACACAAACAGATGGAGAAACATTCCATGAAGAATCAGTATCGTGAAAATGGCCATACTGCCCAAAGTAATTTACAGATTCAATGCTATCCCGATCAAGCTACCCAATGACCTTCTTCACAAAACTGGAAAAAACCACCTTAAACTTCATATGGAACCAAAAGAGAGCCCACATAGACAAGTTAATTCTAAGCAAAAAGAACAAAGAGGGAGGCATTATACTACCGGACTTCAAACTATACTACAAGGCTACAGTAATCAAAACAGCATGGTACTGGTACCAAAACAGAGATACAGACCAATGGAACAGAACAGAGACCTTGGAGGCAACACAACATATCTACAACCATCTGATCTTTGACAAACCTCACAAAAACAAGCAATGGGGAAAGGAGTCCCTGTTTAATAAACAGTGTTGGGAAAACCGGCTAGCCATGTGCACAAAGCAGAAACTAGACCCCTTTCTGACACCTTACACTAAAATTAACTCCAGATGGATTAAAGACTTAAACATAAGACCTAACACCATAAAAACCCTAGAAGAAAATCTAGGCAAACCATTCAGGACATAGGCATAGGCAAGGACTTCATGACCAAAACACCAAAAGCATTGGCAACAAAAGCCAAAATAACCAAATGGACCTAATCAAACTCCACAGCTTCTGCATGGCAAAAGAAACAGTCATTAGAGTGAATCGGCAACCAACAGAATGGGAAAAAATTTTTGCAATCTACCCATCTGACAAAGGGCTGATAACCAGAATTTACAAACAACTAAAACAGATTTACAATAAAAAAATAAGCAAGCCTATTCAAAAGTGGGCAAAGGATATGAACAGACACTTTACAAAAGAAGACATACATGAGGCCAACAAACATATGAAAAAACGCTCACCATCACTGGTCATCAGAGAAATGCAAATCAAAACCACATTGAGATACCATCTCATGCCAGTTAGAATGGCAATCATTAAAAAATCTGGAGACAGGCTGGGTGCGGTGGCTCAAGGCTGTAATCCCAGCACTTTGGGAGGCCGAGG